AGACAGAGACAGAGACAGAGACAGATGGACGAAAGGACAGACGAACAGAAGGCACCGAAAAAGGCGGCGCGCACACACCGAGAGCGAGAGGGAGGGCCAGTGGAGAGGGAGAGGGAGCGAGAGACGGAGAGGCATGTGGGGACGCTCGCAATGTCCGCAAGCCACTCGGACACTTCTCTCGCTGGCATTACTCTTCAGGATGCTGAGCGCCGAGCCGGGTTGGAGTTCCGTGCGATGCACGAGGCGGCGATGGCATACAAGACCAAGAGATGGGCCTGAAGTCTGAATTTCATGGAACTGTGCCATCTTCAAACTTGCGAGGGCATCACACATATCGCCTGAATGGTACCATGCAAACCTGTCGGCTTGAAGGCAAGACAGTGGTGTTGCTGCTTTCACGCGACGATCATCGTCTTTTTGCCATTTTCGTCGTGATCGCCACATCGTTATCACCAGCAGCAACGGCGGCATGGCCAGCCCCATCACCGATACCGGCACAGTCGGCAGGAGTAAGAGCCGCAGGGGCAGCCGCAGCAGTGCCCCATGCGGCGCTATGGCGCAAGTGCCGAGGCCGTGCACAACTTTGCGGCAATGCGGGCTGTGCGGCTTTGCGGTTCGACACAGGGCGTCCCGCGAAGTCACATGGACTGTGCATTTCCCGGAATCTGAGTTGGCAACGTAGAAGACCCACAGCCAACGATCTTGCCTGGCCGGAGACTCGTAGAAAAGGTGAGCTTGACATTCAGCCGTTTCTGGAGGACACCTGTCGCCCATCAAGCTATTTGTGACTGACTCGGAACCCAGATTTTACAAGGGGGTCGGCGACCACCACGCCCACACTCTTGCATACAACACCCAAAGCCCTGAGCTTGGTCCTGCATCAGGCGCCGTTGCGAAGGTTTCTGTCTCAGGAGTAATTACAATCCAAGAACAATGCGGGCACAGCCTTTTGGAAATCAAGTCTAGCCGAACTCCTGTGAAATGCCCGAGGTGGGGCCTTGGAAATCTTTGCTTGTGCTGATGCGTCTTATGCTTTCGAATCGTCATCCCTCTCTGTCACACTCCTTCAACTAGCCGATTGTCATAGAAGCATGGGGAATCACCAGAGGCTGGCAATGTGGTTGCTTCGCCCTGTCAGATATGCCATCTGATGGAAGCTTGAAAGCTCGAAAATGCTTCCTGAGCCCTGAGCAGGGCCTCAGAAGCCTCTGTGTAAAGCTGCGCAGAGGCCTCATATGAAGCTTGGACTACAAGAGCATGCCCCTTCCTCGAGTGGAAACAAGTAGTTAGTCACAAGCGCGTCTTCCAGTCCATTTCATCCCAGTTCTGGGGGGATCTTCACACATTCGTTGGACTGGAACCCACATCCGCCATTCTTGCAGGCTGAAGCTGCGGGGCCACAACTAAGCTAGCAACGCTTCAATGGCCTGACAAAAGGGCCTGGGCCACTTGCACGAAAAAACAGCTTCTCTCAGCTGGGTTGTCTTGTCCCGACATTCGAGGTACTGCAGGCTACGCTTCAGATTCCGAGTCTCCGAGAACCGCACGCTGCCACCGCGGCAACACGCTGTTCCGAGCCCTGCGTGTCTGCCACGCTCCAGTGCATGCTTCGATGATGATGATCATGATGATGATGATGATGATGCCAATGACGATGACGTTGCTGATGATGATGATGATGGTGATGATGATGGTGATGATGATGATGGTGGTGATGATTGTAATGGTGGTGATGCTGATGATAGTGATGATGGTGATGATGATGCGAATGGTGATGATGATGATGATGATGACGAGGCTGTGCACGGGGAAACAGGAAACGCTTTCTGCTCGTAAGTGGAGGAAACCAATGACGAAAAAAACAACTTGAGAGTTGGGATAAAAGCTCAACGTTCGCAAGTGTACGAAGCCACTTGCACACTTGCCCACACTGGAACGAGTGCACACTTGACAGACACTTGACACCCTTGAACCCTGCCACTTGCCACTTCCACCCCAAAGTAAACCCTAAGCCTTGAGCCCTAAACCCTAAAACCTTGAATCAGTAGACTGCAACTCTTGGTTGAACTATAGACTTCTCCTCTGTGCCGTGCTTACTGTATTCCAGCTTCTATCGCAACAACAACACCTTGTCCTCTGGCGGTACACGCGACAAGTTTGCCTCCTGCACTTCACGCTGGCGTTCCAGGACCCTATCAAGCTCAGCCTTGTCAGTAGCGGTCGTCTCCCTTTGCTTACTTGGTTCGGTCTGCTTCTTGACAACTGTGGTGCGCGTATCGCCGCGAGTGTCGTCCGTCGTTTTGTTGTCCTTCCCCCGCTTCGACTGTGCTTTGTTGATCATCTTCTCAGTGTCAATAGACTTGGTGGCAGCATATTTGTCCTTAACCGGCTTTAAGACCCTCAGACCGGACTTTTTGACGAGTAGAGAGCCTTGAGCACACACGCACCTTGACACTCCCCCATTCCCACCGGTGCCCCGTTTCGATTTTCGGAAAGGGCCGGGCGCGGACCGCCTATCGAGAATTTTGCTGAAAGCTGCATTTTTGCATCGCGTTATGAAGAACCAGTCTGCAATTACATCACGTGTGAAACAACTCGGAAAGACCCTAGCCACTGACTTGTATCTAGAATGATACCATGCAGATTCCCCCCCGACCCCGTCGAGTACATAAGAGCGCTGAGGCCCGCCGTCATTGTGCATTCCGGCACACCTCCTCACGATATCGATGTCCATGCTGTAAGGTTGCGAAAGAGCTAGGTTTGCCCGTGTTGGTGGAACTCCGTCCAACACTGCCACACGAGGTTGCTGGATCTCGGCCCACACCAGCCAGGTTGTGCAACCAACCCGTAATTGAAAAAGAACTGTTTAACACTTATCCCCCCACAAAATACATAGACATATACAAAGGAGGTGGGGATGCTTAGCGTTACGCGTCTCTTTTCCGTTTCCCCCTGCGATGTGATGCCGCCATTGCGACAACGACATGAGCACATGATCAAGCAAAGCCTGCGGCAAATTCAGACGCCGCGCCACTGGCCCGGTGACCTTCCCACTCGCCATTCGCGAGCTTCGCATGCGAAATGAAGACATCAAAGGACCGCACGTCACGCAGCCACGGCTCCCAATTGGGCTTGCCTCTCCAGTCAAGAGTGCAAGCACATGATCGAAAGACCTTTGTGAGTTTCCATCATATATGTATATATACATATGCTCATAGACATACATACATACATGCATATAGATAGATAGATAGATAGATAGATAGGTAGGTAGGTAGGTAGGTAGATAGATAGATAAATATGTACCGCGCATATTCGCACTTGTGCCTGCGTCGGGGTGCACTGGTTACTGGTACTGTGCATCGAAGATCTTCCAAATTCAAGCCATGAAGCATCACGACAAGATAAGAGGTTCTAAGGTGGGTCGTAGTGCATAATGCTCAGCAGTGCAAGAGTGGTTGCCATACTTGTCATGGTAGCATGTGCGGTTCCGTGTTTTGGTACTTGGGGTCGAAGCCCAAAAAAAAACATGCTTATCATCACCGACACCCAGGTCCCTCCACATCCTTTCATACACTTTGTGCGTGTATATTTATCCATGTATGTATGTATGTAGGTAGGTATGTATTCATGCATGCATGTAATATGGGTACATATGCATACATACACTAGACACACATACATACATACGTACATAGGTACGTTTGCATATGTACTTCTACTGCGCCCGGTTTCGCGGATTCTGTTGTGTCAGCGGAAATGTCATAGCGGCTTGGAATCTGGAGCTGCGCTGGCCCGAACCTGCTTCCTGGGAACTGGGCAGGCGCACGCACGACGCACCCTCACACACACACACACACACCGCACACACACACACATGTACAGTGGCACAAAGAACGGCCAGCATTCATCAAGCGATTCTTGTGAAGAATCCCATCTGTTTCCAACGGCTACTAAGACTTGTTGGGCTGGTTTCTCGCGCCTTCTCGCGCCTCATGTAGTTGTCTACGTTCGTCAAAACTTTGCTCAACAAATCAAAAGTGCTTCTGAGCAGCCGCTGCAGTTCGTAGATCTCACATGTAATGCCCAGCCCACCATGAATTCTCAAACTGAAGGCCTGCAGAGGCGCCGCTGCTGCCGCTTTCTAGATTCAGTGGCCCAGTGCCTCGACCACATGCACAGACTGAAGTCATGGATCGACCAAGATCTGAATCCAACACACAAATCAAATGATGTCGGCAGACGGGTCCGGCCTGTCGGTGCCTGGTAGATAATGGGCCGCGCATCCAGCTTCTTCTGGAAATTCCTGGAGGCTTGTGGCCGAACGATGCTTCGCCGCAAGCGAATCGCACTAGCAAACCGTCAACAGCTTCAGAATCCTGCACCGTTTCTCCAGGTAGTTGATGCGGTCCCACAGCTGGGCGACCTGCACATGTCATCCCTGATGTCACCTCTGCATACCTCTGCTTTACGTCGCTGGCAGCGGTTGTGAGCCTGACTGATGTTCTTCTGAGATTGAAACATGCGTCCGAATCAGAACAACGGTTGCAAGGGTCAGGACCCACAGGAAGTTAGTTGGAATCAAGGCCTCCGAAACATGTCTGACACTGGCACTGGAAATCACAACACAAAGCTGTGAGCGCAACCTGCGCCCAACAGTGGCCCAACAGGTTGTCCAGCCGTTCTCGCGCCTCCTCATGACCGGCCGTTTCAGGAGCTCCGGCACCTTTGGGCAGCCGACCCGACCTTGCGATTGAATGCAGACTTCAAACTCGCTTTTTGCCGCGTTGGTGACTGCTGTCTTTTTTTTCAAGCCCTCCGGGCTGCTGGCCCTAGCGCTGAAGTGGATTCCAGCTGCTCCAGGAGACTGTCCGTGACCTCGGTGGCAACACGCACAACTGGTGTCTGCTCGTCCCAACCGAGCGCAGTGTCGCGCCTTCCCATCGGTGCGACGATAACTCCTGAAATCAGACTCCCGACAAGCCTTGCTAGCGTTCTCGGCTGCAGACATCCCCGACGACCTGCTCCTGTGCAAAACGATTGCTTGTAGCGCGTGGTTAAGAGTGGCAATGCGAAGGAGCAGTCTGGTAAAGGCCATGATTTCATGGAGACCGGGAGCCATCTTGGCCCGATGCAGGCACCAGCCTCTGGCTTTGTGGTGGAGTTGTGGTCTGCAGGAGTCGCCGACGGCGAATCTACCTGACAAGAAAACTTCTAGCCAGAATCACGATAGTAAGTTGCAGGCTAGCAATGCTAACACTTACACCAAACACCCACGGACCGTCACACGACTTTCTCCTCAGCAACTATGCTGCGGCCGCTGCCTTCCCATCCGGTTCATTGTCCTCTTCTTCCAACAGAGCCTCGGCGCTCACTTCGGTAGAAATGTTGACAATCCCTTAGCTTGTCCTCGATCTTCCTCTGTGCGAGTCTGTGCCTCCCTGCACGCCATTCGCCAGCTGAGCTTTTTCGTTGCGGCGTCGAGGACGACCTATCAGTCATTGTCACACCGAGAGGCGTCTTTTCGCGCTGCTCCTTACGACAATCTTGATAATCTTGCAAAGTGCCCTTGTCCGCCAAAACCTGGGCTTTGACATGCTTTGACAGACTAAGACTAAGATTCGCACAGGGCACGCTGGATCGTCGGCGTTGCGTCTGCCAACCTTCCATGCTGATGCACCCACTCACAGCCCGAAAAGTGGTCAGCTTCACTTGTCCAACGGCGGCTTGCTTTTCGGTCGACCCCATGTGGCCTGCGAAGCTCGGCCAACTCTGCTTCTGCCTGCCCCAAGACCGTGACAGCGCTGCCGTGACAGGGAGAGGCAAAAGGCATCCTCTTCCAGCGTAGCAAGCAAATTTTGCGGATGCCTGTTGACTTTGCTCTGCCATACTCTGCTGCAGCGCCCGGATCAGCTGCTTGTGACCTCTCTTGACGAGAAAAGCAGACAAACTCAGAGTCACAGGGTTGTTTGCATAAGGAAAACTCGAAACCTCTCCATATCTCTGTCAGTTGCTCTTGTCTTTGCTCGGCAGCGAAACTAGTACCTCTGCCGCCCAAGCAAACGGATTCTCAACACCGAGCTCAGCGACTTTCACAGCTTGCCGTTGCGTCTGCTACCTGCTCAGACAGCTGTTGGCGAGCCTGTCGGGTGATATGTTGCAGTCATCCAAGTCACAGAGCACGGCAACTTCACAGGTCAGTATGGTTGGTTGCGGACGGGAAATCGCCTCTTTGAGCTCGGCCAGCTCGGACGATCGCCTTGGTTTGTGCGGCGTTACATAAACACATGCACAATCTGTTTGTATGTATATACACATGTGCATGTATGCATGTGTATATACATATATAACATACATAAACACAAAAAATACATACATACATACATACATACATACGTACGTACATACATACGTACGTACATACATACGTACATACATACGTACCTACTTACTTACAAACATACATACTTGCCTACCAACCAACAAACAAGCAATCAAACAAACAAACGAACAAACACAGCATTGCTACACAAGACGCCGACAGTGGTGACACATCGACTGGCGCCAATACCTCACCAAAGGGCATGTCAGCGTAAATTTCTTTAAAGAACAAAAAAACTTGCAACACAGAGAAGTTTACCTAAACCCGAAATCCGAAGCCTAACCCAGAATCCTACAACCCCGAAGCTTATCCCAAACCGTAACCTCAAAAAAAGCAAATGCCGGGCTGTGGTTTGCCGCCAGGAAAAGAAGCTCAACAACTTCGCACAGGGCTCAGGAAACCATGCACAGGAAGGGTAAACTAAGAACCCTGATCCCCAAGCTCGCAAAACCTTTCGCACAGCCTTTGCTACAAGTACCTCTTTGCCGCTGCGCTGATATTGGTGAATTCCGTTTCTTGTGCCACGTCTAGAAGATCGCGTGTGGTTTTAATGTTTTGTGCCGATTTCACAGGACTCTGGTTACCTCTGGTGTGTCAGTTGTTCGCACCGAGAATCACGAAAACCTTCGGCTGGCTTGTTGTCGGCTGGTTGTGCTGATATCATGATGCAGATACGTCTGCCTGACGTGAATACCTGTGCACAAGCATATGAAGACTTGCCTACTTCCTCTGGATAGGTGTGGCGGCTTTCTAGCAGGAATTTGCTCGTCGCCGCTGTAAGGCTGACTTGTAGCTGCCGGGGCTGAGGCATGGAATTGAAACCTTGCCACCCTGTCGCCCTAAACATACCCTGAGACCTGAACCACGGACGCTCTCAGCGGGAAACGGAATGAAACGGACTTAGAGTTGGGGGGTTTAGAAACTTTAATGTGGGTTGAGGGCCGGTCCATCAAACCACACAGACAAACAGGAACACCTTAGGGCTTTAGGATATCACCTTTCGTCACCTCTCGAACACTCTAGCTCTCCCGATTATCGGGCAAGCCCTCAACCTGAAACCCCAACAACCCCAATTCGCACACTGCTTTGTGCACCAACATTCGCACTCTAGACTCCAGGACCCTTGATTCGCACGCCCGGATTCTCGCATGGACGATTCGGGCACTCGGAGGACGTGTGCACCCCGAACTCCAGCCAACGGGCATAGGGATTCGCCCTGACCACGTAGATTCATTCGCCCACCGACACGATTTGCACTAGCGCTTCGCGCAAATCCGCTTGTGAGTCCGGCCGGCTGAATGGAACTCGCAGAGGTCCGGGAAGGGCAATGAAGGGCTAAATATCGGGAGGTCTTTTCACAAAAACTTAATAAAGCCCAAAGAGGAAACAAAATGAACAGCGAAATTCTCGTGATTGGGCAAGTAGACCTTGAGCAACCACCACTATCCAGCCGCATAAGACCCATTAAACGGAAAGCGGGAGCTTTGACGGATTGTCAGCTATTTTGGGGGTTGGTGTTTGGAAATCCAGACCAACTGTTGAGATACTGAACCCTAAACCCTAAAAACCGAAAATCCTGAAGCCCAAAACCCTAAACCTCTAAGCCTCAATCCGGAAACTAAAACCATACAACCCTAAAGGCCCTAAAGCCCTAAAACCCTAGAACGGGCTCTACTTGCCCGACCTGAATCCCTAAACCCCAACATGCGAGACCCCTAAAACCCGAACATCTGCAAGCTTCAGACCCGAAATCCCATGCAACCACGTCGAGTGAATGGGGCCTCTCGTGCCTGAATCTGGCTTGGTGCTTGAATCGGCGATGCTCGAATCGCGCTTTTACAAAGATCCTCGTCAATCCTCAGCCCTGAACCCTCAGCTCGAAACCCAGTAACTTAGTAACCGCAAATTCCCAGCTCGATTTGGAATGCTTCTAGGGTTTGGTCCCGGGTTGGGTTCTAGAGATTAAACTCGCAGCATTAGGCCGTCAGCTAGGCTGGGGCGCACGGATTAGGGTCTCTGATTCCGAAAGACAGACCGAACCCTGTTAAGCATATCTGAGTACTTTCCACAACGGCACCGGTGGCGAATGAAGATATCGTGAGTAGACAACACGAGAACCCAGAGCCTCAGAGCCCACTCGCCCGCTTGGAGCTGAGTGCCCCCGCGAGAAGTCTTGAGCCTCGGAAGCCTCCAATCGAGAGCGCGCCTCGGAGGCCTCAAAAACGACAGTTCCGTGTCGAAAACACCCTTTGGCAAAGGCGGCAATGCAAATGTCAAAGCAAAGTGTGCACCTCCCTACAACATTTTCCGGCAGTCAAGCCCGTGCCTCCAGTTGCAGCATTTGGACCAGCTTGCCAGCTTCCGCCGCCTTGCACAGATTTCCCACGATAGTGTGGCTCATGACCAATGCTTATCATCAGTGCTTGCGCGGTGCTTTGGGGGGCAGCTACGAAGCTCGAGAGCGAGCCCAGGCGTCTTGATGGCGAAGTGCAAAGACGCAGAAGTGCTGGCCAGGTCCAGGGCCTCCTCTGAAGCCTCTTCGGCTTTGCGCTGGGCCGCAAGCAGCGCATCTTGATGCTCGACCTGTAGGGCTGACGAAGCTGACTGCCACTTGTTGCAGCTCTCAAAGATGAGCCTCATTGTCAAAGCTTCCGCGACGGCACTGCTGCAGTTCATCCTCCAGGCAACACCCGTGTGTGGAAGCAAGGGTGGCGAAGCTGGGGGCGAACGCTCTGGCCATCCGTGCTACGAGGCTCAGATAAGCTCAGTACTTCCTGCTGCTCATGTTCTGTACGCAGGCCTGCAACGACTGCACTCGCTGTTCCAAGATGGACCGTTCTTCCCGCCATTCCTGCGAAGAGGGTATGCCAGCAAGCGATGTAACAAGCCTGGTGAGTCAGCATAAGTTGCCAGTTGAACACCAAGGCAGACGTGGTTGTCAAGCAGATGTCTTCCGTCAGGATGTGAATGACGCAAACCATCACGAACCCACTGGCACACCAGTCCATGCGGTTGATCTCAAAAACCAAACAGCGCAATGCTACAGTTTCGAGTTATTAGCTTTTCAGGCGGTCGGGTCTGCAGCTGGAGTCTCGTCATTGCTTCAGCTGGAGAATGCTGTACCTGGCCATGTGGACAAAATGCTGTCATTCCAATGTCCAATGTGTACACTAGTTTGCGAGTCTCAGAGTGCAACATCAATTGAATTCTCCGAGGCCTCGGGATGCCCTGCGGCCTCTGATATGGAACCCACCCTCTAGTTGGCTGAGCTTCGTGGTTGAACCTGCCAGATCCCCGGTCGTCCTTGAATTGACTCTGTGGCTGGAAGCTTCCCCAGCCAACGCCCATCCCTTCAGTGCGGAGTGGAAATCTCGTTTCGTTGCCCCCCCCCCCCTCCCCCAACATCCCCCAACCCGCCCCATGCTTTCATATCCCAAGCCATTTCTAGGGCCTTGCAGCCTTGAAGGTCTTGGGACGGGGCTTCTGCACTGGACGACATTTCCGATGTGTCGTGCATTGTCAGATCAGTCCCGGGACAGGCGGGCAGTAGCTCAAAACATGGACGCTGAGGCCCCGTCACAGTAAATGAACCGATATTTCCCAAGGTTGCCAGCAGCATCACATGTCCCCAAACCTGGGCTGCGCAAAGACGTCCGAGTCTGACACACGCGCACACACACACACACTCACAGTTTGGAATTGCGGTGCTGGCGACCCCTTCCGGAAGCTTCTCAAGGCCGACGGCCAAAGATATGACGATAGCGGTAGCCTGATCATCCAAGGATGCCTCTTGCAAGTAAATGGGCGACATCGTATCGCTGAAAGTGCCTTGTTGAAGTTGCCAGCGAAAGTGGTATACGTCGCCGACATGGAGTGCACCAAGGAGTACTGCGTCACGTTGTACCATGCAGCAAAGACACCCAGCAACATCCTGACAAAAAGCAGACGAGCTCTCGAACTATACTACAAGGACTCAGCCCCCCCCCGTGCCGGTGACACTTGGAGATGCTTTGCTATGCTATGCTATGACATGAGCTACTTACTTCTATCTCTGGGACAAGCATCGCTAAACCAAGCACCCCGGGAGCCAGGTCGTAGACCTTGCAGTGTACCTCCGAAAGACAGCAATGCAGGTGCTGCCAGCGCAGAAAACGCCAGTATCATTGGCGCTCGCAGTCGAACAGTTTGCGACACGCTTTCATGGCGCCCATGCTGCCCATCTCGGATCGGCTGGCTATCAGATGCTATCAGGAGCTACTTGGTCTAGAAGTCTAGAATGTAGAACGTGGGACGATTGCTGCACATTGCTGCGCAGCACAATCCGTCGAGCAAGCTCTGGGCCTCGAAATCAGTCATCGATGGCTGACCCGGCCAGCTGGGATGTGACAGTATGAAGCTGGGAAACAACCTGCAGCAAGTTGGTAAATTGCTGAATGTTTGTCGGAAGTCGTCCGGGGTTCATGCTCAGATGCAACGTGACAAAGGGATCGTAGAACTAATCGATATCGAAACAGACTCGTCCACTGATCAAGTCCACCTGCCAAGAAGACATCCAAAGGCAAAGCCGAACAGTCCACTTGATGCATAAGCCTGGAAAACATGAAATCAGATATTGCAGTTCGAAGTAGAGATTCTCGGTCCGGGAGGTGGGGCAGGAGGGAGGGCGGGATGGTGCTACCGCCCCGTCTCCTTTGCGAGACTTTCGCCCAACATGTCCCATGAATCCTCGAACAGATACTTGAAAACAACAACTCATGCTTGCGTCGCCACTACTGCAGCGATGATTAAGTTACTCACCATAACTCTCTCTCGAATTCTCTTCAGGGCACTACTCTCTGATGTGCTCCAGTTTGCATGCTGGCCTGGATAAATGCTGAGCGTAAAGACTCTCAGAGCAGTTCTCATGTAGAAGAACTTCGGAACCAACACAGCCTTTCTTGAAGCGAAGAAAACTAAGGTGCTGTTTGGACAGTCGTGGAACAACACAAGAACACGGGTCAGGCGCGACCAGGCTCTCTCAACCGAAGAAAGCCGATTGAGCCATCGAGGATCCCAATTAATCCTCGCATTAGTTTCATTCCTTCCGTGGAAAGCATCAAGGTCCAGGAAGGGAGGAAGGGACAGGTCTTCACCAAGGGAGATAGGGAGAGGTAGGCTGACTCGTCCAGGTTGTACGCGTCTGTGCAACTAGAATTCCTTTCAACCGCTTCAGGCCAGGAAACAGCATCAGCGCTGAGGGCAGCCCCATGTAGAACGTCATATCCTGCTTTTCTGATCTCGCTTTGGACATCACAGCTCCCTGCTACACGTTACACTGGAGTCCGATAGCGCTGCAGTCCAAGACTCTAGCGAACTTAGCTGCATGGATGATCCCAACTCGCAGGCCAGGACCATGTTCAAAGCCCCGGCAAAGATTGAGACGACGCAGACAAGCACCTTGACACTGCATGCGGGGATGAGACCTGTCTTTGAAAGGCAAACCCTTTTTGAGCATCGGTGGTGTTGCTCCGTACGTTTCTTGACAAACAACACAGCAAAGCTGAGCTGCTCCGTGCACACGGTAACAGAATCCCACTGGACTTCGACATTGCGGCAAGTGCCTTGCCTCTACAACCAGCACTTCCGCCAGCAAACATCACGGGACAGCAACCAAGACAGAAAGTATGCGCAATTCCCTTTGCCAAGGGCCTCGCTCCTGTCAGGATTGCATCTGAGTTCGCGGTGCTGCCCCGCTGCGCCTTCCAAGGATCTTCGCAAGTTCCACCCAAGAGAGCTACTGCAACATTGAGTCGTGCAGAAGCAGCAGCCCAAAAATCATCTGAGACTTGTCACGTCTTGCCTGTGACTGCGCCAGTGTGGCGAGAGCCGCGCAGGCCACCCCAGTCAGCATGCAAAGAATTTCCTTTGATGCTTGCCCACACAAAAGAAGGCCTTTGTCTGACTGCGACAGGTCTCCGGGCTTCCTCGTAAGTCCCTTGTTCCAAGCAAGGTTCCTGCTTGTGTTGCAAAGCTCCTGCACATGGCAAACTGAGGCACACAAGCCAAGCCCGGTTCTTCATGCAAACCGTAATTGAAAAGATGAGATCACGAACCTCGCCTTTGGCTGCAATTTTGGCTGGATGTGCAAGCACTTGCACAATAGCAGTGGCAATGGGGAGGCAGGATCGGATTATCAAGTTCATGGACAGCGGCAGGAACCTGCGAGCGTGTCGCAAAAGTCTGGTCTGCAGAGACTTTCGGCCTTGTTCTGAGATCTAAGGCACGAACTGAAAGCTGAAGTTGTTGAGTCCTTGGCTCTCAGATTCAGACAGCTTGATTTTCTGTGACATGCCTCTCAGATATCTCAGACGACCCATGCTGACCTATATATGCTGACTTGCAGTGAGAGAAGGAGAAGAAAAACAGGAAGAGAGAGCGGGAGAGGAATAAATATGTTCATATATATATATAAAGATATTGATATAGATATAGGGACACATGTGCATGTGTCTATACATATACGGTGTGTGTGTGTGTGAATATACACACATATGTACATTTACCTTTACCTAGAAACACAGACACACACTCGCCTACATACCGGGTTACCGGCTCACACACGCGATGGGCCTGTGAAGGCCTACGAGGCATGACGCCCGGCCGTCATCCAAAGGGCACACCGATTGATCAGGCGGACAACTCACCAAGTGACATCTTCACCACTCCAAAGAGAACAATGCATCTTGGAACTATTGCTTTCAGCGTCCGATGTTCGCGGCAAACGCTGCAGAGAACAGCAGTATTCGGTAGACGTCGCTCAGCTTGGTCAGCGGTTTTGGCCGGTACGGCCTTCAGAAATGCACATGTAAACCAAATCTGCATCAGCATGATTTGTTCAACCTCCTCTGGCAATGACAAGGCTGTAATTTTGATGCTATCTCGCAGATCTGCAACGATATCACTGTAATTGAGGCAGGTGTCCAAGGTGTCATCCAGGAGATGACGAAGCCAGCTCCAAAGAGCACGAAGCAAATTATCTGGTGTATGGCCTCGGTAGTAACGCGACTTGTTTGGCCATCTGCGTCGTTGGATTGTTGTTTCAGCAGAGGCTCTGTCATGAGGAAGGCCCCCGGCAGCCCATGCAGGCCGAGCTCTTCGGAGACGACGGCACTGGAGATCACAACTTTCGCAAACAGGAGCATGCCTCACTCGCTGACAACCCTTTCGGTTTACAGTACCCCTGGACCACATCAAGATCTAGACCGAGAACGATGTGGCATCAAGGCCGGAACGAGAGAATAGTCTTCAGTTCAACAACATGCTACCTACTGCGACCAGAGGAGAACGGGACATTCCGGCACCTTGCATGCCAATGAGATGCTGTTTTTGCTCAAAGAGGGGACGAAGGGCTGTCGGGTGGCCCGAAGCTACATGTCACCTGCGCACACCAACCACGAACTGGTGTAACAGGTGATCATCTCCACAGCCGCCCGCAATGAACTCTACTGTATCGAGGTCAAATGCTCCCGTGTGAGGCGAAGCATGAACCAAGTCATGCTTCGGTGAGCTGATTTACCCTGCCTGTCTGAGCACCGAAGTACACTGCGAGCTGCGCCGGCGTCCGAAGAGACTCGATCTGACGACCTCGGCGCCCGCGGACAACTCTGCATCGCGGCTTCGCCAGTTTGCAGCAGGCAGCGTGGGAAATCACACTTTGGCCTAAGGCTGTAAGCAACCAGCATGGCAAGCCGATGCACAGGGCAGCCAGTGGGATGCAGACCTGTTCATGACGGATGCTTTCTCACCTCGAGCCTGATCAGAGTGGCTCAGCCTCCTTGAACAATCTGTAGGTCGCCTCGTACGCGCTCGCGGGTACGACTTCTGGGCAAGCGACGAGGAGGATGAAGAGATCTCAAATGCAGGCCCAGCAGCCGGCGACGTCGCAGGGACATTGGCCACTGCGCTCCTGGTTCACAAGCAACGCCGGCAACCAGATGTTTAGAGACCTCTCTGCCGTGCAGCTTTACGAAAATCAGGCAGCACGAGAAGACATGGTTCTGAAGTCAACTCAGCAGTAGATTGCAGACCTTGTCTTCTCGAATAGAACCACAAGTGTCACCTTGGAGGTCAGGCCAACCATATGGAGACAAGTGGAGGACATGCAGACTTAAGCAAACAAATTCAATGCTGTGTGCTCCTTTTGCACCCTTCATAAGTGCCCCAGGGCACCGTCGCAGCCAGTACAAGCCCACGCCCTGGCAGCGAATGCGTGCAAACATGGCATAAACACATTTAGCTTGTGGTTTGCAGCCGGAGCTTCACAGTCGGTCGATCCAAACATGCTGAAATGCATTTGTCGGTCAAAGTCTAGAAGCTCACTGGTCCAGTCTTTCTGTTTGTAGCACGTGCAAGGCTTGCGTCGTTGGGGCCAGCGCTGGCTCCGCGCCACGAGCGTTGTGACCTGCAAGGCTGCGAGGATGTCGCCGAGCCATCGGCACGCACTTCATGGAAATCTGGAAGACCGACATCATCTCTCAGGGCTGGTGCGAACGGCTTTCTTGAGCCCCCATGCGTCCGCATGAGACATCAGCCTTCATGGGCAATGGCTCAAGCGCCGGAAGGAGCCATGACTGCAGATCTCTATCTATCGAATGTCTCTTGCTTGCGAAGAATTCCGGCAGCCAGAAGCTGCAAGCACAACAGCTGATGATCCACGGCATGATACGTGGCATGTGTGTTGGTGCTGCACGCGTGCTTGCGTAGGGGTGTGGTTCCCTGCTACCAACATAGCGAAGTAGAGCAGGATCAAGCGCATGACGGCTGCGGGACGCCATTCCCAAATTTCGCGGAGTGTCTGTGACGGCAAGCATCCAATCCAACAAGTGCTCGTCATCTGGCTTGAGAGATGCAGTCGGCTGGCAGCACTTGCAGAACCATGGCACAATGACGGCTGGCCTGCTCCTTCGTCTGACTACTGCTGTGAAGATCCGCATACTGGGCCTGCGATTTCAACAGCCACTCATCTTGTACACGAAGAAGGGCCAGGGCCAGGCAAGGGGATACATGCCGCAGTCGCACTACAGCGCTAGAACCTCAAGTCTACTTGTAGCACCTCGGGCTGAAGGGCCTCTTAAACTTCCTCAGAGGGCGGACAGTGGGAGCCTCCGCTGTCTGGGCTGCCTGTTGCTTCATGGTCTCCGACGCCCTGGCCTCCTCACCGCAAAGTTTCTCGAAGTTGCGTTCTTTGGATTTCGAAGTGCGAATGTCTGCAAGGCCTGTCCTCCGACTCGGCCCTCAGCACCTCCACCTGCTCCTACGAGGCCGGTCGAATGATTTTCTTCGCTCAGCTGGTTCAGCCAAAACCTGTGTTGTATCGAAGACTGTAACATGCCTTCAATTCATAATACTTTTGCTGCACTTCAATTCAACTGCCTGTCGATTCGATAATCACAGACTGTGCGATGCACGCCTGCAAACTTCGAACTCGGCCCTCCAATAGAGCTTGGGCCACCTGCCATTGGCGACGATTTTCCAGGCCGTGCTGGTGGCTCAAGGCACAACATGACTGAACTGCTGGCCCAGGCGGTTCGACATTGCACAACTTGCTATTGCCTCCACGCGGTCGTCCCGCTGGGTGGCACTGCTGAGCAACTCCTTTCGAAATTGTTCCGTAGCCGCTCACCTATCCATAAAAAATTCGAACACTTGCTACGAGAAGCCTTGGAACCCTGCATGGCTCCTGGCACTCGGCACGGGCTTGCTCCAGTTCCTTGCAGGCGTAGTTCATTCTGCACAATCTTCACGCTTGAACATTCTCTTGCCGCCACCTACATGCCTCCGCGAAGTCCAGCGCCAGCACGAGCAGTTGCGATTCACGAAACGATTGGTAAATGTCTTGCTGCGCAGCCCCATTACCTAATCTTCCCTGGGGGTGCTCATTCAGTGCAGCCCCGGCGGCACGATCTGCTCTGCGGCTGCGCTCGTTGGCTGCGCGCAGCTCTTGGCGGCTGCGGCCTTGAAATGAAGGACCACTGGCAAACTGCAGCACACGATGTCTCATGTGGCCTGCCCGACTCTCACGGAAGCATTCGCAGAACGGGGTTCACTGAACATGCTTCGATCAGTTCGACTAAGAGATGCGCTGATGCTGCCCTCCAACCTGGCACCATGAGCTGGCTAGCAACAGCCGTAGAACGGAGTGTCTGAATCGACACCTACGACATGGCTTCAAGCTGCCATTCAATGTCAAAAGACTGATTTGCTCTCCAAGAAACTCTGACTGCTGCTGCTCAGCATTGACACGCTCTGCTTCGGCTGCAACTTCCACAGCGCCGAGGTGCTCCCTGCTCAGTTCGCCCGGACTGCTCGGACTGCGTGCAATGGACAGACACCATGCAGAGTTTACTGCCAATCACACAGGTACCAAATGTTCCTGCGTGAGCACCCCATGCGGCCTCAGCTTCGCTGCTTCAGCAGAGCTTTCCCGCACCAGCTCCGAAAGCATCTCGCACAGGGTTACTGAGGGCCAAGGGGAAGCTCCGTGCTGTTGAAGGCTTTTACCTGCATATACTATGCATACATGCATACATACATACATACATACATACATACGTACATACATACATACATACATACATACATCATACATGCACACACATACGTACATATAATATGTGTATATATATATACATACATCGTTTATTTACACATACATAAATCATAAATATATAGGCGTACACGCATACATGCAAATCCGACATGAGCATACACAGGGTACCTTAGACAGTATGTTGAAGTAAGCAAACAAATGCTTTTATCATATTGAAATCTAAGGGCCATCTTTGGGGCAACGCAACACCAAAGACAGCTGAGGATCATTGTGGTCAACACAAACATTTGTGTGTTTTTGTGAGGCTTAGTATTCGCACAATGACGGTTGCCGTTGGGGCTAGCATTTGGGCCGTACTTAGCTTACCAGCAATAATACTAGCAATAGCTAGTATTGGAGCTGCCATGACGTTTAAACTTTGGGGTTCATGAATGCTCATGTAAGGGATTTCACAGGTACATCCGCTCTTGGTAAGGCCAGCGTACGGTGTTTCCTACTGCCATTATTAAGGTTGCTGTTGAGGGAAGTATGCTGTGCATTACGAAGGCTAGCAATAGGTTTAGCTTTATGAAATTTGCGAGAAAGGCTCAAAAGATGCGAATAAGGTTGCCAGGGAGACTCCAGCATAAAAGTAGGCTAGCATCAGACGTTCGAAGATAAAGTTGTGATGTCAGGTTCACAGACAGATTTTACTTTCATGGTTGGGAAGATCATCTGCGTAAAAGGTCGCAAGGAATTGAACATTAAGGCGGCTGCGGATATCTATACATGCTCTACCCTCCAAACCTCAAAACCTACCTGTAAACCTGGATCATACACCAGAACCCTAAAGGTAGCGGTAGGAGGATTGGTGGCGGTATCGCGGCCCCTCACGCTAGTTCTTTGGGGGTATGTATGTGTATACATACATACATACATACATACATTACATTACCTTACCTTACCTTACATTACATTACATATACAAATATATATATATATATATACACACACATATACATATTCTATTGATTGTGTATGTATGCATGAAGAGCAGAGCAAGGAAGATCGACAGAAGCTTAGATATATAGGTCGATATTTAGATAGACAGATTGACAGCTAGGTAGGTAGATAGATGGATAGATAGACGGACAGATAGATGGATGGGTAGATAGATGGATAGATGGATAGATGGATAGATGGACAGATGGATGGATGGATGGATGGATGGATGGATGGATGGATGGATGGATCGATCGATGGACAGATGGATAGATGGATAGATGGATACATGGATGATAGGTAGGTAGATAGGTAGATAGGTAGTTCAAATCAAAAAGGTAGATAGATAGACAAGTCCGTAGTCATGTGTTCCTGTCTCCTCCCTCATCGTGTTTGGCTGCCTTCAAATTGCTTGGTTGGAGATGGATAGGCAAACATGGCTTTTTGTGTCCTTGCACATCTACTCAGCTGGATGCATTCTCTGCTTCCTTTCTTTCATCGGTTCTTCATGAGACAGTACGCTTGCAAATGCAGTCAAGCAGACACGTTGCCGAATGAGCGGAGATTTCACATTGCCTCTTTCTGCTGGGCAGACTCGCTATGGAGCTCCTTCAGCTCCATAGAGGCCTGAAGAACACGCAAGGGCCTCAAGGCCCTCAGGTGATTGCCAGTGGCATAACGGTACTGCAACAGACGAAGCACGCTTGGCCGGTTGGCCTCTTCCAGCTGACGCTGACGCAATGTCTCGGCATCCTGCAGTGTCTGCTGCTATGCCAGTACTATGCCAGTAGCAACCATCTTTTGCACCAACGCGCTGCTCAGACGTCCTTGGAAGAGTTGTCTGACTTCTCTTTCAAGTGTTTTAACTCGTTCTCGGACTTGTCACGCAGCTGCTTGATTTCGCGCATGCGAGCCTGACATCATGACCGGTAGGCTATCAACAAGGACATCTGCCAAGGACTGCTGCAGGACTCAGTCGCCCCGAACCTCATCTCGCTCTGTTGCATCTTTGATGACCTCAACAACCACTCCCTGCAGGATGTGTCATGCAGCACAGCAGCTCCGAGGAAGTGAGGTCAGCTAAGGCAGGAGCTTGGTCTACATTCTGCTTCAGCTCGGCCACCTTCGCCGACCTACAGAGCTCTCGGCTCTGGAACTTCTGAGTCGATGTCAATCCCGGACTCGGTGGAAAGTAAGGCCACGACTCTTTCTCAAGCTTTGCAGTCAGCTTTTGACCTGAGACACCGAACTGTGGTTCACAGCCGCATCAAACAGGCCGCCGGGATTTCGATTGTGCCCGCGCCAGCAGCAGAATTAAACTCTTGGGGTGAGCTTCTCAGATATACGCCAACCCACAGGCCGCTTGACACCTGGCTTGCTGTGTCTCTCTTCCGACGGATTGACGAAGTGCTAGAGCAGTATGGGACAACCGACGTGCAGATTCCGTGGATGCCGATGCCGGCAACTCTCGCTGTAGTGTCGTTCTGTCATCCTATCACTTCACGAGTTCGACCCACGTGCGTCTCTCCAGAGAACGCTTCGAAAGACACTAAGCACAGGGCTGTTGTTTGCGAAATCCGCGAACAATAACACACGCAAGCTCTCCCCAGGCCCACGGCGGGGCGGAGGAGAACAGCAGGGAGGCCAGGGATCGGGTTACTGCTACTGCTACTGCTACTGCTGCTGCTGCTGCTGCTGCTACTGCTACTACTACAGCTACTGCTGCCACTACCGCTACCGCTACCGCTGCCACTACCCAGCTGCTGCTGCTACTTCTACTGCTACCACTACCACTACCACTACCACTACTGCCACCGCTACTGCTACTGTTGCTGCTGCTGCTAGTGCCAGAAGGCCAAGAGGGAGAGGGGGGGGTCGAAGAAATGGACGGTGGTGACAACCGAAAACCAGGAGGGGGTTGTCGGTGTTGTTGTTGTTGTTGTTGTGGGGTTGTTTTTCGAAGAACAGGGGAGCACAGGAAGCAGCCACCGACGCGTCTATTCAAGGGGTACGACTCCCCGCCTATCGCATCATCTGTGAAGACAGATTGCAACCGACAAAAGGCCCGGCATGCCGACGAAAACGTGTTTAAGCAAATGGAGGATGGGTCTGTTTGTTCGGCCCAGCTGCAATCGTCTTGACTCTTTTTTAGCTGCTTTGCCGATTGTCGCGCCTGGCATCAATCACACCGATGCATCGCATCCACGAACAGTTCGCGCCGTCCGTGATGGCCTCGGCTTGTGCTGTTGACGACAACTCCTCCGCGGCTTTCAACTTCTCGGACCTCAACAGCGGCATCATGTTCTATGGTCCAGAATAGCTGCCAGCAGTTCCGCTAGCCAAGAGTGCTCTGTCTGTGCTCAGTTTCTATAAACATGCGCCAAGCACTGAACGAAGTGGCCAGACCAGGAAAGCATAGCTCTCCAACCCAAGGCCGAAGCATCTTTTCACCATGCGCCTTGGCATCGTCCAAATTCTTCTGCAACTTCTGCAGGTTCTTTTGGAGAGCCTGCACATGAGTTGATCTAGATGCTGAGGCAAACATGGTTGCGATTTCGCCCAGCTGGTGTATGCAAGAAGAAAAGTGGAAACTTTAGTGTTGGGCATTGCTGGTGTCTTTAAAGGGACCTCTTGTGCGATGTTTGTGAAGTCGGTGGCGACTGCGATGCGTATCAGTAAGGAATTCGTTCCCACTCTTTCTCCAACACATTAACGTTCCACCCATGGCCCAACAAACAGGCTCCATGGTCACTCGCTGTCATGCCGGGCGAGAAGCCGAATTTCGGCAGAGCTGAGCTTTCCCATGTATTAGCACTGATTGCTCTGCAAGGAGGCTGCACACAGCGCAGAAAGTTTGCCCCGAATGTGTGTGGATCACCGACAATAACAAGGAGTCTCGAACTAAAGGAAGCATAGGACCCTCCTGCATGGAGTGAGCTCTGCAGTTTTCGATGCGGATCCCAAACTGACTGAGACACCCAACCCATGAGGCAGGAGTGATAAAGAGAGATGTTCAGGAAAAATCTGCCCAAGCTATGTGCCTCTCGCTGCTCCTTCCTGGAATAAGTGATTGTGCATCTGCCGGCACGTCTGACTGATAGCATGCATTGTACGGGCAATTCGGAGGCTGCATGCGGCAGGGCTTTTTGCCAGTTGGGATGCTGCTTGCGACTTACATCCTGGCTCACGACATGTCTTGCCCTGAATTAAGACCCATGTCCGGACAGACCGGCCTAGGGCCCTAGGGCGGAGGGCAGACGCGCCGTTTGTGACAAAAATGGAACAACTCGGTGAAACCAAAGGAACCTCGCACACTCGCAATCTCATGCAAGCCCCAGCTATCGCATGCGGTGATGTGCCATCTCAATCTCAGGCAAACTCCTGCAGCCATGGCTGCCTGAGCTTCGGTGGGTAAGATGTGTACTCAAAAGCAAGGCAAGACTGTAGTGCAGGTCATGCCCTCCACAGCACAAACATGCAGAGGACATGGGCGTGCCAAGCTCTCTTGTCCGTCCGCTGCCAAGCTGGAAAGAAGGCAGTCACACGGTTTTTCGCAGGGGCTAAACATGTAGCTGACTCGCTCAAAGCTAGAGATTACTTTGCATGCATCCCAACGTTGGAGCTGCATGCTTCCACGCTATCCGTGCTTTGTTTCAAACGAAGACGAATCTCAAGAGGCACTCACACAAGTGAAACTCATCTTAAGCCCAGGCATGTTGCCGGACAATTGCCTCATCCCGGAGGGTGTGAAGCCCGGCATATTTCGTCGGCGTTATTGCGTCTGAGAACAACATTAACATTATTTGTCACTACAACGATGAATACGTAATCATGGCACTGACGCAGACCTTTCGAACACATACTGGACAAAGAAAAACGAAATGATGTGACTGCCACGACTGAAAATTCTGCACGGGTTCACTTGCTCTCGAAAAGATGGCCGACATCCTTGATAGTGACACTGCCCAAACCGAGGACAACGAGAAGCAGGAAGGCCAACCTGAGGAAGAAGGCTTCTCCATGATTCATTGGAGGTAAACTTAGAGTCGGAAGGATACATCTTTCTGAGTCAGGAAAATGACTTCAGTTTTGCATGTCCGTGTGGCTCCAGATTCGATGTGTTGCGATGCCGGCCGGCACACGAACCGACGAAGTCTGGTTGTACTTTGCCTTCCATTTCCAACCACCGCCCCCCCACCCTTTGCCAGCAATCCCAGGCTCTCCAAGGTGGCTGCACCACAATGGCTTGAATGCATGCGCACAAACGTGCCAACTATTGCCAAGTGATGAACACCTCATCGGGGGCGACGGGTTGTCTGAGATGTCCCTAGAGGTGCGTCCAGCCGTGCCTGAACTCTCGGGGAGGGGGGGGGGGGGGGGTTGCGATGAAGTCCCGAACAGTCTGCCCATTTCGGGCGGTTTGTGTTTCCAGTGAACCCGACATGTTCAAGGAAGGGGAGGGAGGAGGTCGGAAAGCGCAGTCCCGTTCGGACAGTGTGCCGCTGCATGTGCTGCAGGCGACGAATTTGAAGTCGGCGACCTGCGTGTATGCTTTCAGGTACTCTTTCATGCCTGGAGGCTCCACATCTTGCTTCTTGTTCTCGTCCAGGCG